AAAACAAACAGAAGAAAAAGCGTGTTCATTCCTAGAAACGATGACTAAGGGATACTCCACATTGAGAGTGGTCAGCCCTCCTGACTTCTTGATTTTGTTGGCTGGTAATCACAACATTCTCCCAGGAGAGAGCAGGTGTCTGGGAACAGATCACAGGAGAGGTCTGCACAGGGATTCCCAATGTTTTCCTTACTCCACTGAAGAAAAGGTCACATAGTTGAGTCTTAGGATTCCCTGGTGTTTTTGGATAAACTGCTCTTGATGAATTGCTTCTCCTCAGACTCAGGGTTCAGATTAATCACCTGCATCCTGGCCAAAAACCCTGCTTACCATCCACCCTCACCCAGCCACAGGGGAAGTGCTAACAAGCCATAGCAACAGATGATTCAGTCTTCTCCCGTCTACATCATCTAATCAAGTTTCCATATTTTTTTTTTAAAAAACCTAACAGTTTCTGTGGGGGAGTCTAAAGTCCCCATGGTCTCCTTAGCTGTATCTTCTTTTCCATTACCTTTAATCGCCACATTTGGAGTTGCGTACAGCTTAATGAGACATTATGTCTCATTATTTGGGTATTATTTGTCTCGGGTATTTGGGATACCTTGGGATAAACACTAACCCAAACAAATGGCTCTTCTGATTTGAGTACAACTTCTATGCACACCCTACAAATATTTTTTTAAACATTTGCACTGCATCAACAGCCAAAATAAGAACTGGCACACACTGTCTCACTGAAAACGGGACAGTATTATGTGCTCAAATTTAAATATTTAGATAATATTTTAGTGTCATCTAAATATACTGTGGTATCTTAAAAAAAAAATCACACATAAAAGATACAAAAGTCTGAATGATGAATGCTGAGCAAGGAAATTGCCCTAGACAGAAGAGACTTTGTGTGAGGCTGGATTTGAACAGTGTGCCCCAAATCAGGCTGTGTCACAAGCTAAAAGCCACAATATTGAGCAAGAAAACAGCTCCCAACACCACATTTTGCAGCAGAGCCCAATATATGTCATCTAGAGGGAAGAGCCCCTTGCTGTCTTTCCCTGGACATGTGTTTCCCTGGAGCCTCCCCCAGAGCTGTCCACAGCCCCTTCAATCTGGCCAAGATCATGTACTTAAAATGCTACCAAAATGCCTGTGTGCAAGGCAAAGAACTGAGACAAACAAGAAACCTAACATTCCTTGAAGGGAAGCTAGGTGATTTTGATCTACATGCTGTAGAGAAAGAGCAACTGAACTTCAATAACGTTTCCTGCTTCACAAGCAAACGGAACAGATAAAGAAGGCCAAATTCCAAGTTCCTTACCTCAGTTCCTGTTCTTCAGCCCAGTGCACGTTGCTGGGCCTACCTCACATGCCAGCTCCAATTCCATGAAGCCAAGGAACTTGCTTTAGATGTTTCCATTCTGCATACATCTTTCCTTTCTGATACCTTTCGATATCCACCTGCATTCAAAGTGTTGAAGCTGACACCCACACACCGCTTTTGGGGGCACTTCTTGCTTTTTGCAGTAACTGGGCCTGCCTTATCCGTCACAGCCTCAGATCCTTCGTGCCTCAATGTACCTACCATTCAGAGCAGAGCCAGAACGATCATGTTTTGTAATAAACACTACAAAGTACCAGAGCTCTCCTGCTTGGTCCATTTTCTTTCAATTTACTGGAGGCTATTAGAGCCTTGCACAAGATGATTGGTTTTGCTGCAGAGATGTACAGCCAGGTTGCCAGTTTCCTTCAAATACCACCTCATTATAACCATATTTTAGCTGCTAGATCTCAGCTGGTTGTTGGCTGGTGCTCCTCTCCCTGTACAGCCATTCACACAGTCTAGTTGTCATGCTCACTGTAAAAACACCGAGTTTTGCCAATTATATAAACAATACCTGTTTTTACCAGCAGTTTTAGGATCTCAGTAAAATCTAACACTCAGGAAAAGCAACTCATTTCTGTTATGACATAAGAATCACTTTTAAAAAAATTGAGAAAACATTCTTCAGCCTTTTCTGCCAAGTGCTGCAGAAACACAAGATGATACTAAAGATAAAACACCACCACACACTCTCAGTGCAATTACATATCCCTTATTACATAAGTTATTTAAAAACGAAATTTAAAATGTTATTAAGACAAAACAGAAATTTTACATAAAGCCTGTTCTTTAAGAAATTACAAATACTTTTATGTAGTACTGTGGAAGAAGTGTTTGTGGAAGAATTGTTTGAAAGCAGGAACTGAGAGGAAAACTAGGGCCTAACAGAAGTTTTGGCATTACAGAGGCCTGCTTGGGGTGCTACACAGTTGCCACTTCCAGGCTGGTTGGTATGCACGGACTCTGCTCCTCCACGGTTCCCTGGGCAGCACAACCTGCCCTCCTCGCAGCTGCAAAGGGGAGGAACGGAGGATGGAGCGGGGTGAAGGCGCCGCAGCCAAACTCTGTTGCACTCCCTGTGCTGGGCTGCTGATAAGCCGCACAGTGGCTGTCCAATGGGAGATATACGATAACAAGTCCGGTGCTGAGCCAGCAAAAGTGGCAAATCACTCCTTTCGGATGAACTTTGCTTGAACTTTACTCATTATAATGTGAAAACCATACCTCCATCCCAAAAGTTACC